GCTGCTGCTGCTGCTACTATTACTACGACTACTACTACTACTACTACTACTACTACTACTACTACTACTACTACTACTACTACTACGACTACTCTATAACTACTACTCTATAACTACTACTACTACTACTACTACTACTACTACTACTACTACTACTACTACTACTACTACTACTACTACTACTACTACTACTACTACTACTACTAGTACTACTGCTACTACTACGACTACGACGACTACTACTACTACTACTACTACTACTACTACTACTACTACTACTACTACGACGAAGTGACCTTAGGCCAGAGTGGACTTCGGTGCGCGGCTTGCCGATCACTGCGTGCGATGAGACCGCGAGCTCTGCTCTGGCCCCCCGCGCCCATCGAGGACCGCTCACCAGTCACCAGAGGACGCCCTGACGAAAGGTCACTCTTGGTGTCGATGAGCGTCGATCAGCGTCCGTCAGTGTCTATTCGCATGAGCCACCAGGCTTGTATGGGAGGCTCCCATGAGTTGCCACCGAGGATAGGGCGAGCGGGGAAAACAGAGTCAGTATCAACGACACGCCGCCGTTGGGAACGCATCAGCGTGTACGGTCGGGAACCTTTTGGTTTAGCGTGTCGCGACGCCAGTTCTGGCCCGCCACGTGGCCGCAGCCGACGGCCAGGCTCAGCCCACGATCGGTGTACACGCCCTCCCTGCGAAACAGAAGGACATACAGCCAGAAACGTTCTCAATAAACTCATCGTTCCAGAAATCTGGGCCGGCATTCCGGAAGTTTCTTAAGACGCACCTGGTCCAGGTTCTGGTCTGAACGCTGGAGGGGCGCACGCTCTCAAGAAAGTGGGCCAGCTTTCCGGCAACATGGTGAAGAAGCGCTGGCCCAGCTTTTCTGGAGGAGATTTCCGAATCAGATGCTCGACCGTACTAGTTTTACGCCTCCTCCTCCTCGGAGGCGAGCGCGCGAACCGAACATATAGCACAACCATATTGCAGTGCATCGCTTCCTGAGCGGTGCGGCCAGAAAGCGCCCGCCGCGACGCATATGCAGCAAGACTTCTCGGTGCGCGCGCGTCGCCACCGAGGGGGCGACGCACATCTAGTAGGAGCACGATGGGGAGACGCCACCGCCTGGCTCGGGCAGGAAGGCAATCACACAGACCCTGGGCCCAGGATCGCCCTGGAGGAGGAGGCGGAGGAGGAGGCGGAGGAGGAGGCGGAGGAGGAGGCGGAGGCGGAGGCGGAGGCGGAGGCGGAGGCGGAGGCGGAGGCGGAGGCGGAGGCGGAGGCGGAGGAGGCGGAGGAGGAGGCGGAGGAGGCGGAGGCGGAGGAGGAGCATCGGTGCCGTTGGGCGTGTGGCTGGCGCCCTCCGACCTGATCTGCCCCAGCGCGAGCACCACGCCCACCACGGGCAGCGCGCCCAGCGCTCGCGCGCCGGGCACCCGGCGCGCCACCTGCCCCCAGAGCGCCTCGGCGGCCCCCGCGAGGCCGGCGCGGGCCAGGGAGGCAGCGGCCTTCGAGAGGGTGCGCTCGGCAGGGCCCTCGAGATCCTGGCGCCGCGATCGTCTCACGACGGGCGTACTCGCTCGATTTCGGGCCCCCCGGGGCCCTTTGCAGATCGATGCGGCTCGAACAGTGGGGCAGAGAGAGGGGGTGCGGGGCACTGGTCGTGGGTGTTTGCCATGTTGCCACGTTCTTGCAGCGTCGGATCTCGGGGAGCGGGCACGATTTGTGTCGGCTCCTGTCCCCGCCGGCCATGTCAAGCATCGCTTCGCTCTCGGCACTCTTGCGGCCGCAGCCGGTCCAGGGGCGAGACGCGCCTTGTGTGAACAAGCCCCGAAGCTTGCAGCGCAGGGGTCCTCACCCAAAAATCGCGTATAGAGAACGCCCGCGGGCAGACAACCGCCGCGGAGGGCCGCCACAACAAAATGCTGTCTCAAAGTGCTTGGACATCTTGATCCACCGCGGACGGGCGCCAAGGTGGAACGCAGTGAGGGCGAGGGATAAGAAATCCCTTCGATAAAGAATCCAGGGTCTGGAAGCTGGTGGAACACCAATTGAGGCCTGGCCACGAATCTCACCGCCGCCCTCGTCAGATAAGGAATCCTCCAGGACCTGAAACCTCCTGTCGACGGCGCGGCCAGGGGGGGAAGTGAGAGGCGCGGGCCTTCTCAGAAGGCTCGGAAAACTCCGGCCTTCTGAGAAGTCTTCTGAGCCCTCCCCGAGGACACGGAACACGTCTCAGCAGGCGCGAAGGACGTCTGGGAAGCCCCGCCGCCTTCTGAGAAGGCCTTCTCATTCTCGGACGCCTGGTGGCTCTTGGGTCATGACTCGGCTCCCCGGTGGCCGCTCGGGGCGCCCTGGGCACCCCCGGAACGCCCACGGCGAGGCGCAGCCGCTGGAACGCACCCCGAGGCCGGAAAACCGACGAGAACCGACGAAAACGTCCGAAAACCTCCGAGAACGTCTGAAAACCTCCGATGAAAACGCCCGAACACCTCCGACCTTCGGAAGAGCCTCCTGAGAACCGACGACAGCATCCGAAGAGCCCCGCCGCCTTCCGAGAAGGCCGCTTCGCCTGCCGCCTTCCCCCGCCCCGGCAGGCCCGCCGCCGATCCCCGGGCACGAGGCCGCCACGGAGGCCCGCGCCCTGCCTCGGAGCGCAGGCAGGCCGGAGAGTCGAATCGTCAGGTTTGCGGGTGCCGCGACAGTGGACACCCCAACAGTCCCATCATTGAGTTCTAAGATGTGACTCAAAAGTCGGACAAGCGTCCTGAACATGCTTTGAACATGCTTGTGGCCTGTCTGTTACAAAATCATGTTTAACGCATGTTTTAGACATCTGGAGAGTATTTGGCGACGTGCCTCCTCTCCATTGATCGTCCTCCACAACGCTAGGTCGGATCGGCGATGGAAACGAATCGGATCGGCGGAAATCGGCAGCCGAGCCTTCGGTCGGGCCTGTCCTCCGACAGTGGGGTTTTGGAAGGAAATGAAAGGTAGTTCAAAAGTATTCAAAAGTAGTCGAAAGGGCACGAAGAATCGTCGCCTGACTATTCTCTCTTGAATACTCCTCCTGTAGAGGGACACGCCCGACTTAGCGCTAAGTCGGATCGGCGATCGAAACGAATCGGATCGGCGGAGATCGGTAGCCGAGTCGGGAGAAGTCGAATCCGCGGCCATCGGCAGGCCAGCAGGCCTCCGTCGAGAGGTCTCGGAGCGCAGATCGGAATCCGAGAACGAATCGGGGCGGGATCGGAGGCCATCGAAAGCGAATCGGATCGAATCGAGGTCGAAACGACATCGGGGCGGGATCGGAGGCCATCGAAAGCGAATCGAATCGAGGTCGAAACGAGGCGGGCCCCCCGGGGGAGCGGGCGCGACAGGCGGCGGCCTGCGCGCCGCACGCGGCGCACAGCACCCGCGCCTGCACCGCGGGGCTCCGCAGGTCGTGGCCGTGCAGCGAGGCCAGCAGGCAGGCGACGCGGAGCTGCCGCCACAGCGAGTAGGCGACGGCCGCGGGTATGCCGACGTCCTGGCGAGCGGCGAACGTTGGGCGGCGCCCCGAGCATGGGACGCACAGAGAGAGTGGAAGTGCAGTCGGCCTGGACTGGACAGGGCACGCGAGAGGACCCAAGGCCCCTCCAGGGGGGCCACATCGCCACAGGAGTGCGAGAGGGCAAGCGTCGCGAGGCACGGGACACCAGGGTACCCTTGAGCTGGCAGGGTCGGCCCACTGATCTGGGCCGACTCTCTGTTGGGGCGACGCCGACCTTATGCCGATCACCCCCCCCCCCTTTGACGTTGCCCCGTCGCTGCTTCAGGCCACGAACCAGCTCTGCGGGGGCCGTGCGGGAGGATCCGGGCACCCCCGGGGACGCCCCCGGCGAGCTGCGGCTGCTGGAGAGCACCCCGGCTCGGCATGGCGGGAGCGGGTCCGGAGGGAAGCGGGTCCCGGGCCCAGGGCTGTGGATGCCATGACCATGGACACGCTAAGAATCCTATCATTGAATTACAAATGTGCTGAACATGTCAGCAAAAATGTTCGAAACACGTTTCGAACATGACTTTTACGTGTTTTAGGCATGTTTAACACATGTTCTAGACATCTGGAAATGATTTGGCAACACGCTTCCTCTCCGTTGGTCGACTTCCACAGGCCCAGGGGCCCCTCCCCCAGGGCGAGGTCTGCATCCCGAGCCGGCTTCTGACCGTCCCGGGGCACGCGGAGGGCGCCGGGAGGCCAAAGACGACCAGAAGCCCGAGGGGGCCCGGTTCCCTCGGGAGCCGCGTCCCCCACGGCGAGAACGTCTGGCGGCACGCACCAGTGAAGGGGCCTTGGGACACACAAATAAATGCACACAAATCAAAGGATTCCCCATGTTCCCCCATACTTTCGGGCTTTTTTGTCTTCCCCCCACTTTCCATATTTTCCCATATTTTCTGGAGGTCGGCGATTAATTGTGTCTGTGTGTTTTTTGTTCCTCCTGAACCAGGGGGGTGCAGTCGGCCTCGATTGGACAGGGCACGCGAGAGGACCCAAGGCCCCTCCCGAGGGCCACATCGCCACAGGAGTGCAAGAGGGCACGCGTCGCGAGGCGCAGGACACAAGGGTACCCTTGAGCTGGCAGGGTCGGCCTACTAATCTGGACCGACCCTAGGGGGAGGAAGGCTTCTTAGAAGGAGGCTGTTTCTCAGAAGTCGCCGGCCCTATATCTGCAGATGAGGCCCGCGCCTTCTGAGAAGCAGGGGTGCCTATGAGAAGCCTTCCCCCCTCCCCCTGCCCCCCCCCCTGCGCGTGGCTGACTCACGAGCAGCGAACGTATCCCTATCCACGCCCTCGCGGTCAAGATCCCCGGGCGCGATCCCGCGGATGCTCGGTCGCACTGATACGGTCCGCGCGGGGCCTCCGCGAAGCAGCGCCCCGTATCCAAGGGGTCGCGGCCCAGGGGCCCGCAGCCCGCGAGGCCGCGGACTCGGACATTACGCTTAGGTCGGGCATGTCCTCCTACAGGGGAAGGCTGGAAGAACAGAAAAAGAAGTCAAAACAGACTCGAAAACAGTCAAAAAAATGATCGACAAATCGTCCCCAGGCTGTACGGGGGACTCGGGTTTGCTTTTGACGCGGCCATTATGAAAATGACGAGGCCCGATCTGAAATCTGACGCGAGCTCCCGCTGCAAACATCCCACGAAAACTGGACCGTCAAAATCAAGGATCGGCTACACGCAGGAGTGACCTTAGGTAAGAGTGAACTTTGGTGCGCGATCTTTTGGGTGTCATGGGGGGACCACACCTGGGCGCGCAAGCAGCTGAAACTGCCTCGTTTTCGGCCATTTGGAGACCCATCTGTGCCCGCACCAAAGGTCACTCCGGCGAAAAGTGACTCTTACGCCTAGTCGAAAGGACGCGCTCGTCAAAAAACGTCGGCCAACCCGAGTTCCGGCTTGCTCGAGTCTTACGTTTCCCCGGCTGCAGAGGGACAGGCCCGGCTTGACACTACGCCCACCGCGTCCGGCACGAGCACGAGCAGGAAGCACCGCGCCTCCGCGGCGAACTCCGCCTCCTCGACTCGCCCACGCGCGGGAGGAGGAGGAGGAGGAGGAGGAGGAGGAGGAGGAAGAGGAGGAGGAGGAGGAGGAAAGGAAGATGAGGAGGAAAGGAGGAGGAGGAGGAGGGAGGAGGAGAGCGAGGAGGAGGAGGAGGAGGGTGGAGGAGGGAGGAGGGAGGGATGGATGGTGGAGAAGGGGAGGAGGCGGAGGAGGAGGGAGAGGGAGGAGAGGAGAGAGGAGAGAGGAGGAGGAAGACGAGGAGGGAGGGAAGAGAAGGAGGATGAGGAGGAGGCGGAGGAGGAGGGAGAAATGGAGCTGGCGCAGGACGGAGGAAGGGAGCTGGAGGAGGAGGAAGAGGAGGAGGAGGAGGAGGACCAGTGTAAACCCAAGAGTCATCAACGATGTTGGAATTAACCCTCCCTACAAGCTAACTCTTCACAGGCCCCTACAACGGCTCGTGTCCATTGAGGGAACTGCCTCGTTGGAAGACATCCGTTTGAACATCCTGAAGCATGCCAAAACATTGTTCTCGGGATGTCAACACCACGGATAATCTTGACGGTCCGAAACCGTGCCAGAACGCCATTTGGGGGACCTCAACACCGCGAACCAACATAAATGTTGCACCATCAAAATCCTGATACACTTTCCAACACACCATGTCTGGTACGTTGGTCATGGGAATCCGTAAAATTCTTGCTAATTGTAAAAACGAATGCGCGTGGCGCGAAAGGGAAAGCCACATGTTGAGAAGGAACCGCCCTCAATCCGTGAAGCTCTTGCAACTGTTTTAAAAGAATGTGCGCGGCGCTAAAGCGAGAGACACATGTTGAAAAGGAGCCGCCCTCAATTCGTAAAACTCTTGCAATTGTTCGAAGCGAATGTGCGCGGCGCTAAAGCGAGAGACACATTTTGAAAACGACCCGCCCTCAATCCGTGAAACTCTTGCAAATGTTCCAAACGAAAGCGCGCGGCGCTAATGCGAAAGCACATTTTGAAAACGACCCGCCCTCAATCCGTGAAACTCATTTAACTATTTGGAACTAGTGTGCGCGGCGCACAGGCGAGAGCCAAATCTTGAAAACGACCCGCCCTCAATCCGTGAAGCTCTTGCAATTGTTTAAAAAGAATGCACGCGGCGCTAAGGCGAGAGCCACATTTTGAAAACCACCCGCCCTCAATCCGTGAAGCTCTTGCAAATGTTCCAAACGAATGTTCGCCGCGCTACGGCGAGAGCCACATGTTGAAAACCACCCGCCCTCCATCTGTGAAATCGTTGCCACTTTTTTTGCTTCCAAATCACGAATGGTGAGAAAGTCTCAGGCGAAACGCCCGGCCCGCCCTAAAAACTGGCCTCGGGGTGCGACAGGGAGAAATTACTTATAAGGAAAGAAATTGAGGAGGAGGAGGAGGAGGAGGAGGAGGAGGAGGAGGAGGGAGGAGGGAGTAGGGAGTAGGGAGTAGGGAGGAGGGAGGAGGAGGAGGAGGAGGAGGAGGGAGGACGAGGAGGAGGAGGAGGAGGAGGAGTGACCCTGGGCGGGCGTGGCCTGCGTGCGCGGCCTGCGGGGGCCGCGCACGAGAAGGGTGCCGGCTCTCCAAATGTGCAGGCCGATGCTGCGGGGGCCCCCTGCACAGTCAGATCGTGCACGGTGAGGTCACTGGATAAAGAACCCTTCGACATGGAATCCAGAGTCTGGAAGCTGGTGGATCTCCAATCGTGGATCGGCCATGGATATCACCGCCGTCCTCATCAGACAAGGAATCCTCCAGGGTCTGCAGCCTGCTGGGCACAGTCCTCCACGACCGCCTCCACCGTGAGGGTGCAAGCAAGGGCCTCAGAAGGTCCTGTCGGCACCTGGCGGGCGGGGCACGGCCAGCGGGAGCGGCCAGGGAAGCGCCGGAGGGGAAGGCTGCGAGGGGAGCCTTGGAGAGTCGCTCGCCCGCACCGTGCGGATGGACCGTAGGCCCGTCCCGCAGGTCACTTCGGCCAAGGGTCACCCCTGCGCGTAGCCGATTGGCGGCAGCCGCCGAGCGTGCACGTGCACCACCGCCGGCCCCGGCTGGGCGCGCCGGGGGCCCTGAGCTGGGGCATATGGGACGCACAGAGACAGACTGATACTGTGTATATCCTCCTTGGAGGCGCGCGCCCGACCCGAAGATATAGTATACCCATCTTGTAGCAGATCGTTTCCCGAGCAGTGTGGCCAGAAAGCGCCCGCCACGACGCAGGTACTATAAGATTTCTCGGTGCGCGCGTCGCCCCTGGGGGGCGACGCACATGTAGTGTAAGAATGTTGGCGTGACGCCGAGTATAGACCGTCGCGGCCTGGGCCAGGAGGGTCTGCACACATCGGCGGTGCGCGGCAGTGGTCCTTTCTAGAAGGGATCGACCCCTGCACATAGGCTTACAAGAAGGCTTCCGGGAAGGCAGGCGGGCTTCTGAGAGGCGGGTGCCCTCTTGGAGGGCCGCATCCCCTTGCCATGGCCCCGACAGCGCGCCGCCAAACACCAGTCCGGAGCCCACGATTAAACTTATTAAGGCTGGTGGTGACGCACAGTTGCCAAACTGAGAAGCTCTTGGACACTCCCCAAAGAGACCCCAGAGACCCTCGGGGGCTCCTCGGAGACCCCCTCGGGAGGCTCCCAAGGCACGGTGGCGGGGTAGGCCAAAGGCCTCTAGATCCGCCGCCCCCTGTTGATTCATCACAGAGGTGCCCAGCGTGCTGAATCCTTTCACTTTTGGTTTTGGTTCTTTTTCTAAAAAAACTCCCCCTGGGGTTTCAGCACCGCCCGCCGGGGTCCAGGAATGGCCCGGAAAGGGTGGTTCCAAAAGTTGATCCTGCTCCAGATGGCTCCAAGATGGCTTCCAAGATGGCCAAGATGGCCCGAGATGGCCTCTAGGTTCGCCCAAGATGGTCCAAGATGGCCTCCAAGACGGCCCAGGAGAGTCCAAGATGCCTCCAAGTTCGCACAAGAAACCTCTCAGACGGCCCAAGACGGCCCCAGAGGCCTCCAAGAGGCCTCCAAGACGACCCAAGAGGCCTCCAAGAGGTCCTCCACGAGAGCCCGAAGAGGTCAAAATCAATGTTTTCCGCAGGTGCTTGAAGGATTTTCGCTTTTGTTCTTTTCGAGCCTTCCGACGTCTGTCTCACGACGGCCCAAGGAGCCCGAAAGATCGCCCCTAGTCCCAGAGGCCTCCCAGATGGCTCCAGGGGGCAGCGGTGACTCGCCGTATGCGTCTTCGATCTCGCCCCCTTTGGCTTGCCACAGGGGTGCTTGGCGCGTCGAATTTTAAACCCTTTTTGCACCATCCAATTGACCCCACTAACTTTCGGCCTGTTCCGCGGCTCCCCCCGCCATCGCATCAGCACCGAAAATCCCGAAGACTTGCCTCCAAGATGGCCACGATGGCATAAGATGGCTTCCAGGGTTGCCCAAGAGTCTCGCGACGGACTAGGGGGCTCCCAAGACGCCCTAGGAGGACTCCAAAAGGACACCAGCAGGGTCCCATTACGCAGAACCATTGCTTCCCCAAGTGTTCTCCAAAGATTGTCGCGTCCTAGCCATTTCAAGCTTCCGACGACCCAGGACGGCCAAGAGATCACCCCAAGGCAGTCCACAAAGCATCCAAGAGGGCCTCACACGGACCACAAGACGGCCCGAGAGAAGCCTTACGGGGGGGTCCAGGGGGATCCTGGGGCCTGGGTCAGGAGGAGCTCGGGAGAGGATGAGGAGGAGGAGGAGGAGGAGGAGGAGGAGGAGAAGGAGGAGAGGAGGAGGAGGAGGAGGCCTTAAAAGGCCCCAAGAGAAGCCCAGGACGGATCAGAGAAGCCCCCAAGAGGGCCTACGAGGGCGCCGGACGGCCCAAGAGCGCCCTAAGTCGGCCCAAGGGAGCTCCAAGATGGCTCCTCCTCCTCTTCCTCCTCCTTCTCCTCCTCCTCCTCCTCCTCCTCCTTCTCCTCCTCCTCCTCCTCCTCCTCCTCCTCCTCCCACGTGGGCCCCAGGAGGCCCCCAGAAAGCCCCAAAGGCCAGGCAACAGCCCCAAGACAAATCAAGACGGCTCCAGAGGGACACGAGCGTTTCCAAAAGGCACTGGGCGGCGATCACTCGCCGCAGGCATCCTCGATAGTTGCGGACTCCCGATCCTTGTCCAACGCCTCCCGGACGGCCGCCTCTCATGAATGACTATCATTAGGTCGGGCATGTCCTCCTACAGGCGGATTTTGAAATAAAATGTGTTACATATTTATCATTTGGGGAAAAACGAAAAAGTGTCCCCATACTATGTTGTGACTATATTTGGATACTCCTCCTGTGGAGGGACACGCCCGAGGTGAGACTACCATGGCCATACTCCATGCCCTCGCGGCCTGGACTCCGAGGCACCGCCCCAGGAATAACCGCACGGCCCCGCAGAAGTGCGCTCAGCGCAGGGCACCCGCGCAGAAATCTGCACCCGGCATCCGTGGGGCCGCGGCGCAGGGCGTCAGGACCGCGAGGCCGTGAGCAGGGGTACTCCGGAGCTCGAGGCTCGGGAAAAATGCTGGACGACGGGGGGGGCCAAGACCCTCTTCCTCCTCCTCCTCCTCCTCCTCCTCCTCCTCACTCCTCCTCCGTCCTTCCTCTCCTCCTCCTCCTCCTCCTCCTCCCCCCCTTCTCCTCCTCCTCCTCCTCCTCCTCCTCCTCCTCCTCCTCCTCCTCCCCCCCTTCTCCTCATCCTCCACCCCCCCTTTCTCCCCCTCCCAGATCCACCTGGCCCATGTGGGCCGTGAGAATCAGATTCGGGCCCGCTGGACTCTCAGTCACCTTGATCCGGCGGACTCGAGTCACGAAAAAATCACGACGGGAGGTTTCTCGCTGTCTTCGGCCTGCGGGGGCCGTCACTGGGCCTCGGGACCGGCCAAAAACGATTCGGGATGAAACACTGGCCCCGGGGAACGGGTCTATACCTCAGGGGGCCGACGTCATGATAAATCATGACGCCTTCATCCTCAAAGGGCGGGTCTGATTCGGGGGGGGGCTGATGTGAACTGTTTTGAAGGGCTGGAGAAAGGCCGCCCTTTCATGGCCCGCTTGGGGCACAAGGGATCTAGAATGCCCGTCTAAGAGGGTTGTGACTCACTCGCCTGGTAATGGGGGCTATACTACAGGGGGTCAGAGCCAGCGAAGGGCAAACGAAGGAAAGCTGATTTCCTGAGAAGAACATTGGCTTGGGCCAAGTATTTTCAAAGGAATTGCCCTGGAAAAAGCAAGCAAGGCATCGCTCTTAATAAAAATGCGACCCCAAATCTGGAAAATCAGCGAAATTGAGCTCACCTTTCCCTGACCCCCCACAGGCTGACCCCCAGTAGCAGGCGAAGGAGTGTCCCCTCCCCGTCCCAACGAAATCCACAGTACGGCTCCCGCCCACGAGCCTCCACGTTACCAAGGTGCTTCCTGAGTAGCTCATTGCGCACGGACAGCGTCGACCGGATGGCGGCCGGGTAGCCGCTCCCGGCGATGGGCACCAGGGCCGCGGCGGCGGCCTCGAACGCCTCGGCCAGAGGCTCTCGCTTCGACCACTGGCCCCACCAGGCTCCTCCTCTGTCCACCTCCTCCATCCTCCTCCTCCTCCTCCTCCTCCTCCTCCTCCTCCTCCTCCTCCCTCCTCCTTCTCCTCGCTCCTGCTTCTCCTCCTCCTCCTCTGTCCTCCTCCGCCTCGTCCTCATATCCTCCTCCTCCCTCCTCCTCCTCCTCCCTCCTCCTCCGCCTCCTCCTCCTCTCCTCCTCCTCCTCCTCCTCCTCCTACTCCTCCTCCTCCCCCTCCCACTCCTCCTCCTTCTCCTCCTCATCCTCCTCCTCCTCCTCCTGCTCCTCCTCCCCCCTTTCGGGGTGAATATCTTCCTTGTCGGCCACTGGCTGAAGGGCGAGGAACTCTCGAGCGAGAGCGCCGTTCCTGAGTTCGGGGGCCTCTCTGGCCAGGCCAGGGGCTCTCGGAATACAGATTGAAAAATATCGAACGGGAACCCTTGTCGCCGTGTCTGGGCCTCCACCAACTTGCCTGAAATACGAAAGAAAACTCGAGCGAGAGCGCCACTCTTGAGTTCGGGGGCCTCTCTGGAAAGGGCCTCTGCGAATACAGTTTGAGGAAGTATCGAACGAGAGCCCTTGTCGTCGTAGTTCGGCCTCTACCGATTTCATAGAATCACGAGAAAGTCTCGAGCGAGAGCGCCGTGAAGTCTCGAGCGAGAGCAACGTTCCTGACTTCGGGGGCCTCTATGGCCAGAGTGTCTCGGGGTAAACTTTGAGGAAGTATCGAGCGGAAGCCGTTGTCGTCGTAGCCGGGCCTCCAAGAACCCACTGTTACACTCACGCCAACGCTCGCGCGGGAGCCTCGCTTTCGGAGAACATGTACCCGGCGTCGAGGCGAGAGCGCGCGGAAATGTTTCGAGATATCAACAACAATTGTTCTCTAGAGATGGGTAGTCAACAGCAACAACAACGACAACAGCAGCAGCAACAACATCAGCAAAATCAACCACAACCACAACCACCACCATAACCACATCCACAACAGCAACAACAACAACAACAACAACAACAACAGTAGCTGACACAACGACAACGACAGCGAGAACGACAACTACAACGACGACAACGACAACGACATCATCATCATCATCATCATCATCATCATCATCATCATCATCACCATCAACAGCAGCAGCATCATCATCAGCATCATCAGCAGCATCATCACCATTATCATCATCAGTAGCATCAGCATCAGCATCAGCATCAGCATCAGCATCATCATCGTCGTCGCCATCATCAGCAGTAGGAGCATCGTCGTCCTCCTCCTCATCCTCCTCATCCTCCTCATATTCTTCATCCTCATCATCGGCATCATGATCAACATCAGTAGCAAACTGATCACCATCTGCATCATCATCATCGCCATCGTCATCA